TATTTTATCTGATTAATTGATCTATTTTACCAGTGGCGGCGCGTCAATAGGGCCAACCGGGGCAATGCCCCGGTTGTTTTTTCGGTATAATGAAAAATATTTGAAAAATACCTCAATATCGGTTGCACAGACTGTCTACAATAGCCATATTCTCCCGACATGGTTCATTTTTCAGCCTTCGCCGAACGTCGACGGGGCGACGCCGATTTTGCCCCGGTTGCTCATTGTATATCGTATTCTCTCTTTTATCTTCCACTCGCCGCGTTTGTCTCGTTTGTTTTCTGTTTCTTTTACTAAATCATCGGGGCCGATCAGGGCTAGCCCCGAAATTATGACGACACAATGCCGACGTTTCTTACAACAACGTGTTGACTGTTGACATATTCACGAATTCCTTCTTGTTCGTTGGTTGCTTGAAGAGGTGATAGTTTCCTCGCCTTCGTTTTTGTCGCTTGTTTCGCTATTTTTATCAGTTAGAGACCTTTAGTCCATTTGCTTTCGATTTTCCACATTCCTTTTGAGCTCCTCACTTCTTTCCGGCTTCGCATTTCTTAGCCTTAGACCTCATAATGAATAAGGTTGATGCACTACTTCGCACTCCGTTTTCGCAGCTGCCGCTGGAACAAAAATCAGAGGTACAACGTCTTGGGCCTTATCAACCAAAAAAATTGTTCACTGGAACAATCCCATGACGGAGGAAAGCGTCGGCGTACATTCTGCGCAGAAACTTGGTATAAAAAACACGAATGGTTGTGTTACAGCGAGGACAAAAATGCACTTTTTTGTTTTTATTGCTTACTTTTTGCTACCGCCCGTGACTCACGTTGGTGTAAATTTGGTTTTAGAGATCTTAAACATCTTTCCGAGCGCGCCAGGGATCATCAATCTTCTATGGAGCATCTGGACAATGCAGTAAAATACCGAACATTCGGAAATGTTAATATTGCAGCACAGTTGGATGAAGGACGCGCGGTTTCTATTCGTCGGCACAACCAAAACGTCGGGAAAAACCGCCATGTTCTCGGTCGATTGATAGATGTTTTGAAGTTCATTGGTTGTCACGAGCTGTCCCTCCGTGGGCACGATGAACGGGCTGGCTCTTCTAATAGAGGGGTATTTTTGGATATGGTGGAATACACCGCATCCCTAGATACAGTATTGAGAGATCATCTTGATGCCGCAACTGTTTCGAAAGGGACATCTAAGGATATCCAAAATGATTTGCTCGACTCAATGTATAAAATTTATTTCAATCAATCAATTTTATTCGGTCACTCTGATACAAACAAAACACAAAACAACAACAAAGGGACAAACAAAATACAGAGGACCTGGAGGACGGGCATAACTTAATAATAAAGTTAAATACGTACAAGAACGTGCCCGTCCCCCAAAAACAGGCAAAACACAATAAAACAAAAACACGATGTGACATCGGGCAATATCTTATAAATTCAAATTAAAATGTGAGACGTGTATGTGCTTTTCCTATACAGATATATGGATTAAAGAACACTCGCTGACGAAAAATGGTGATGTTTTGGGCCTACTTCAATTATATTGCAAAAATAACACAGTGACAAATTTTTTTTTACTAAAAAACAAGCTCGGTAAATGGATTGAATGTTCCATAGCAGTCTATGCACAAATCATGGATTGGGGTATTGGGTTCTTTTGTCGTTTTTGGTTAGTTCCATTTAAAATCATTGTATCCGTTCCAATGCTTCCAACATTAATATCGAATTTCCACGAACGACCACCATTCAGCCATTCCAACAGGTGCAGTGATCCCATCTTTTCTATGCTCTGTTCCATCATACACGACTAGATTCATAAAAGGATCGTCCACCATTTAACTTTAAATCCAATCTTTTATCCATAAACTTCTCTTATTTTAGTGGATGGGCTTTGCTCATGTTGATATTGCGCGATACAGATTACAGATACCGAAACATACAACGCGTAGCATTCACTAGTCTTTTCAAGCTGACACGTCCGCACCCGACGACGGTCGGAACGGAATTTACAACATTTGGCTCTGGAAATTGAGAATTGCCAGTTCCTTTCGATTCAGTCTGACGAGACAACTGACATCACGTGCGTTTCCCAACTGGCTGTGATTTTTCGGTTTGTGAAAGATGGTAAACCTACCGAGAGATTTCACAGCTTTGTACCAATCGATGATCGCACGGCTTGCGGGATATCGGCTGTACTGAAAGACGTGTTACAGCCTTACAACGCGAAGTCAAAATTGATAGCTCAAACTTATGACGGCGCGGCAGTCCATGAGTGGGTCGAAACATGGTGTTCAAGTTTATATAAAAGAAGATTTTCCTCATGCGCATTTTTTACATTGTTATGCACACCAATTTAACCTCGTTATTAAAAATATGTGTCTTGATACCCCTCTCGTCCGTATATTTTTTGCAAATGTTTCGGGGTTTTCTTCATTTTTTTTCCGTTTCGCCGAAGCGCTCTGACCTCCTTCGCCAGATATGTAGCCGCCGTCTCCCAGCTTGTGCACCAACACGTTGGAACTTCTAATCACGCGTGGTGCAGAGCGTGTCCGAAATTAGGTCTGAGCTCATTGAGTGTTTCAATGGCATTCAGAGCTCTCCGGTTTGGGACGAACGCTCTGTGAGGGAGGTGGCAGGTCTAAAGCGTCTGCTAGAAGATGGTGAGTTTTCATTTTTTCTCCACAATATTCTATCACGTGGATGTATTATACGGCGCATTGCAGTCAAGGCTAATGGATGGAGCGTCTGTGCAGTCGTGTATTTCAGACTTCTGCGATGCTGTATCTTGTATCCTGGAAACAATAAAATACGACGACACATGGAGTGCTTCTTTACGCCGCGGGCAAACAACGCAGCGTTTGATTTTGTCTGCAAAGGAATGCTGTGACATTCTGGTGAATCAAATAGGCGATCGTCTGCGCACTGAACACCTTGCCGCGTTCTCTTTGATGAACCCCAAAAATTTTTCAAAATTTGCACGTCAATTTCCCATCCATTTGTTGGCTACTATCTCCAAATTTTACCCCATGATAAACGTGGGTAAATAGGAAAATGAATTGCGATGTATATTCACCAATCCAACTTTTTTGAACATCACATTAACTTGCGCGCTCTATGGGTTCCTCATAGATAACACTTTAGTAACTACCTTTGCGGCGTCTGCAAAATTTCTGGACATCATTTTGACGACGCCTATTTCTTCCGCCGACGCACTGCTAGACCTCTACTGCTTGAACATATATGCAACACGCCGCGTTTCTTGGAAGCAAAATGCTCAATAACGCGCTGATTAAAGTCATGCATCCCAGAAATAACGTCTCTGTGAATGGATAAAACAGCCAAGGAATTTAATCTATCTTGCTTCATTGTGTTTCTGAGATACGTTTTAATACGCTTCAGCGTGCTGAATGTTCGCTCTATATAAAATCAGCTCCAAACCTAGCAAAACTCCGTTGACGGACTGAGTGATATAAATAATCAGGTGTGTGCGATCTTTAATACGGGCGGGTCAGATACAAATACCTGGGTGAAACTGTGGGTTGCACGCACAAAAATTGTGACATGGGTTGTTCACTTCGCACAAGCTGGCTGTTAGGACATTGTGACGTCAGGCTTAGATAATATATTGGACTCTTGTATTACAACGCAAATGATTTAGAATTACTGCACATACCAGATTAAAAAAATCGTTTTGCGGGTAGCACATCTTTCAAAACTGGCATTTCTTCGCAGGCCGGACAATTTTTACTTGCGGACAGCATTTGATTCGAGGGCCGCAGATGCACACCCCTGATATAAAAGACAAACAGTTTTCACTTTTTATTACTTACATATATTATCCATTTACCACTTTTAACCTTATAATGCCTTAAATTGGTCGCCTTGTCTATTGAAACTTTTTGCTTAGAAAATAAAATTCATAGCTGTCTCCATGTGATTTCTGTATATAACCAAACATGATAATAAATATTGATTCGATCATTTTTGGGTTCGTTATTATTTTTGTCAGTTTATGGAATCAATAACCAGTAAAAACTTACTTGTGCGTAAAAATGGCCACGCTCATCATATCGATAGGCACCTAGGGCGGATATAGTGAGAGAATCTCCAAACAAATTAGTACGATTCCAATATAACGATCCATGGGTCGAAAGCGGAACCGCCACAACGAGTCCAATTTTTAATTTTGATGACGTCATCGCAACACAAATAACGATAAAAATACAATCTTTAGCCACGAAAAATTTCAGAGCAATTTGTCCGATAGGATGGGATTTAAATATTTATCCCGGAGGAGAAGAAAGCCGAACCCACGCAGAGTAATCAGAGGTGCGGTGGTAAGTGTATTCCTAGTGCACAGTGTGATCGGGGTCATTATAACGTTATTTGCATCGATACTTCCAACGGAAATTTATATTCATAAAAACTATAGTCGTAATTTAAACGGACACAAGTGGGCCGGATGAAACACTTTAACGGGCCGAATCCAGCCGAGGGCCATAATTTGCTCACCCCTGACTATCTAATATTTATATTGCGATGCCGAAACCATCCACGCCTCCGAAAAACTTTATAGTTTCTTCCCAATATTTTTCCTGATACTCGACGAGGACATTATATTCACTTTACTAATCATTTGCATTTTGTATTTATTTCACAGAAAAACGATGGATCCGATGAGTTTCCCTAGTACACAGTGCTCCACACCGACGAGAATCTAGTAAAACCGAAGTCTCTTTTTCAATAGCCCCAGAATCCGGATGGAAATTTCCCCGGGCTTCGTATCCCTGGCGGGTACATATAGAGTTTTTAAGTAAAAGAACACCAACAAAATATTTTTGCTTCGGTTTATTTTTCAAAATAAAGCTGAAATATGATTAACACATATTTAAAGAAAATAGCGCTATACATCGGTTAACATACTCAGTGCAATAGAATGACAGATGTTGTGGTATTCAGTATTCTCCACAGCTCTCAGTTTAGTGAGGGGGCGGGGCGGGTGGGGGGGCAATTATTTTGCTATTGGCGATATTTGTAACACAAAAAAAGGGGGTTTTGTATTTGTCTTATCATCTACACAGCTATATACCACATTTTCTGGATACTCAAATACATTCAAGTGTGGTGTCACACCACCTGATGAGGGTGTTTGAAACTTCAAGGGAATAAAGGTGTTCACCCCCCCATAGATAGAGGTATCAAATATTTCCAATTTATTGTATCCTGGGTCAGGCAGTGGACTCTCAGAAACCTGAGATGTCAACTCAGTCAGCCAAATACTATCAAAAGTGTTATGAAATCATATTTTGTAATTGTGACATCATATTTTATCGTATGACATATTTTTCTGTCTTAAACGTGCATGCCACGAGTCAGTGATCTATCTCATTTCCCTGTTATGTCACATTTTCAAATATGACATCACATTATATCCCGCCATAGTGTTTTATATCATAAACCATTTTTATCCATTCACGTTTTCCCTGTAAAACGCGCCATAATTATCATGTCTTATATATAATATTTCTTATATTATTCCCCCCCCCAATATTTGTTTCCTCTACAAACATGGCACATAAAAAATAACCGGTGGCCGTCAAGCGAGGATGGAAAAGTACATTCGGACAAGCTTCATAGATACAGTGCTACAATTGTGATGCAACTATAGAAAAAATGCAACAATAGTGACGTCATATTCAATCATACAATTTGAATCAGTCATAACAAAATACAGGCAGAAAATGGCGGAAAAATACAGCATTTCAACAATTAGCGATAGGAACCACTGGCGTTTTATGCCTTCGATCTGAACGAGGCAAGCTGTCAACAAGAGATAGTAAACTTTATATCTGATTGAGTTGTTGTTTCAGAGGGGGTATGAGTCTGATTTATGATGTCATAATGGTACAAATGAGGAGAAATGTTCTACAATGGTGCAGCACCAATAAAACGAGTAAGGCCCGAGCCTGAATGAATTTATCCCTGCTTCCCCATTCGAACAGTGGGTTGTGAAATCAGAGTTTGTCATGCTTCCACAGGATTTGAGCAGTGTTTTTAATTCCATGCATCTGAAATAACTGGCTAAATATTCCCATACCTGACATGGTCAAGTAACCAGACCAGTGAAAATTGAAGGCAAATTCTCAACAAAAACTTTAGAAACATTCAGTTTAGCGTTTTTAACAGTCTTATTAAAGAAGGTACAACATACAAAATGAGATTTTCTCAGAGTTCGGAGCTGCTGTCAGAATTTTCAAAGGGTTAGGTGTGAGAGACCAATTTTTTAATCTAGAAATTTCCATTATTATTTCCAAATTAAGAAAAGTTTTGCGCGCCTCAGATTGTGCAGCGAAACTCTTAAATCACTTAGAATAGTAAATATTTCTATTAAAAATCACAAATGTATTTCTGTTACGATGTAGAAATTCATTAGCGGTAAGGTGCAGTAAGCAAGCATTTTGAATCACCTAGAATGTCAGGACTTCAACACAAAAGGGCACAAAGTGAGGAAAACATTTTGATTTTCAGACTTCTGTAAAATTTAATCAAAATACTTTGGCTGATATCACTTCAATCTATTATTAGATATTAGCTTAATAAGCATCAAATTCAATTTTTTCAAGAAATATTTTAAAATTTCAACAGTTGCCCTTTTGACTTGAAGTCCTTAAATAGTCATTTTTGCTACTGTATTCTTGCATTATATAAATCGAGCGATGCAAAAACATAGAATAGGGAAAGAAGTTGGTCCCACAGACCCAAACTAATAACTATATAATAAACTATGTAGCAAAAGAATGTGCAAATTATTTAAAATTTTGATGTTGGAAAAGCACCAAGCTTTCTAGTTGTTAGGAACAAAAATTTTGTGAATTACCCGTTGATCAGACTTTGGAATGTAAGCTTGAACAGAATTTTTCAAGCTGATTGAAAAGTATTTTATAAAATAGTTTCTGTTGAGAAATAGTTGTTGTTGGTCCTAAAAAGTTGTTATTTCAATCAGTCATTATTAGAATATTTCAATTTTGAAAAACATATTTTCAAGCAATCCCCATTTTCAAAATCTGGCAACCCTAATTTTAACCAAAAACATTTAAAATAGATAACTAAACATAAAGAAATAAGCAGCGGAATCAAGTCTCAGAAATCAGTGAAAAGAACGAAAAGACAGCCAGAAGGGTAATTGTATTTTTGCATGGATGTTCTCATAGTAACGACTATTTCATCGGCACTTTTTTACAATTTTTGCTTTTTTTTTCTGCTTTTACAGAGCTGTTTTTAGAGCATAAAAAGTAACCCATCCATGTTTTGCGAGCTTACTCCCCTACTTTATTTTAAACGACGGCCATTCACGCCTTTTCTCTCTAAACCAGGGGTTCCCAAACCAGGGGTCGCGACCCCAAATTGGGTCGGAGTGATATGTAGGTAGGGTCACAAACAGGTCGGTGAGGTATGGTAGAGGATGGATGTACAAAACATATAAGATTTGACAAACCATGTTAAATTTAGCAGTTTGTACCGTGGCTTACTGTAAAACAGGTTCATAGGCAACCTCCACGCTTAGAAAATGTGGGTGCTTATTGTGACATCATTATTTGGTTTTAGCTTATTTTACCTTATACCACCACAAGACCAAACTCAAAGTCCAGTGAAAGAAGCTTGAAGTTTCATGAAATATATTGACCTGGGGTCGCACTGGACACTTGAAAGTCGTCCTGAAAAAAGCTTGGGAACCCCTGCTCTAAACAATGCTTTCATTTATATCTAACGATATGTACGAAGGTGAAATTATTTGGGAGGACCGGCGTCTTTCCTGATTTGGAATTGGGATTAAAAAATGTTTAGAACTTGTTTTCTTTTGTATTGGACTCTCTAATAACAGGTTCCCTTATTTCAGAAAAAAGCCAAACTTGTTAGCTCTGAGAAAAGATAAGGTTTGCTAACTATCATGACAACGAACGGTTGGTGCTGGTCAATGTTCCCTCTAATTTTTTGTAGTATGTGTGCGCAGAAATTTTGGTGTGTGCGCACTTTTTTGGAAATGACTAATATTTGTGCAAAAACCAATGAAGAAATTTTGGCATTCTAACCAGGTAATGGGTGGGCCAATAACAAACTTTGTCAACCTGCCAACCGAGAACATTGTAACATTACATCGAAATACGTCTGTGTGCGCGTGCACACACGTACACCTTAGAGGGAACACTGGTGCTGGTCCCTGATTGTCACTGCTAAATCGCGCAAGCAAAAACAAAGCGGGGAGCGATTGGCCTCTTCAAATAACAGTAGTCCCTTATATCTCATGAAATATCAGCCTCGTTCGGATGGGCGAACGAAAATTTATATTCTTGTTGTTGGAACAATGTTGTACCCACCGTTGTAATGTCCGAGACCTTGGTCATAACGTCTTTTCGGTCTTTTCACTAATTACCAAAACTCGTTAAAATATAAAAAACAAACAAACTAGATAGGAAGACCAATATTAAATATAAAAATATTTATTCTGACAGTGGCAGTGTGCTTCATTCTTGTTGTTCATGTGTCGTGCAAATTTATGAGATCTTTTTCCGGCTGAAAAACATGAAAAAGGATGAATTAATGAATGGTAACATGAAAAAGGATGAATTAATGAATGGTAACATGAAAAAGGATGAATTAATGAATGGTAGTAAGAATTTACGAGCGAGTGGCCCATTAGCACAGTCTCGTTCATTTTTTTTGAGTAAAAATCACACATGCTAAATTTACTGCCAGCTAACTATCCTAGGATCGAAACTGTACCCGGTGGTTTACGACCACTGGTCTATGAGTTAAAGTGCTAAACCAGGGGTGGGCCCAACTTCAGATATGGGACACACAAAAAATTTAGATTTTCCAAGCACACAAAGGCGTCTATCGCCTAGCGCAGGGGTGTGCAACATGTGGGCCCCGGCCAAACTCGGCTCGCATAGGAAAAATTGTGTGACCCAAGGAGAAGCACCACATTTGAATAATGATGTGCAGGCAGCGAAACGAGTTTTTATTTTAATCTAGTATGTGCGAGCAATTCCAACTTCTTTGAGTTGCAATGCCTATATCTGAGCTTGTTCAAAGCAAACAACGCATGCCACAAGATCAATAACCAAATTTTTCTAAGTCTGCAACTACTAGAAAGCCTATGTTAAGTAAAGGTGGGGTCCGCGATTCCACCCAGGTATTTGTATCTGGCCCTACTGTATTGAAGGTTGCACATCCCTGGCTTAGCGTTACAGTATTGAAGGCAATGGTGAAAGCGGCGAAAAATTAACACAATAAAAGAGCAAAAAACATTCTGTGTTTTCACCCACGTTTTAAACATAACTGTCGAATCAGGATATTATGAGTGTCGACAAGAGTCATACTAAACAGATTGGCAAGCCGGATTGGGGCCGCTGGCCAGGTTAAGAACTTGCACCAACCATCTCACCCAGCGGGTTATTAATTAGGTAGGCTATGCTGAACTATGAATATTCCTGGGGCCCAAACCCCCCCAGAGAGTAATAAATTAATAGGCTGTACAATCTGGAAATATTCCACGGGTTCCAAACCACCAAAGCCCCCCATCTCGCCCAGGAAGTTGAACTGTCACCCTCCAGTCTTTCGAAATCACTGGTCTCATACTCACCAACCTACCCAAGGTGTTATTAGCTGGTTGGGCAAACTGAAATAAGTCCGGCCCTTCCAAAATATGACTCTTGTTGTTCCTTAGGTATCAGTGCCTGTTACAGAGCCTTGTTTAGAGCAGAACTCCAATAAATCCCTAATCAGACCAACCTGTACATTTCCTTTAATTGCTTCCTGCAACCTCCGAGTCCAAACCATGGCGACTTCTTTGGAATCACATTGGAACCTAAAAAACAGAAATTAGAATTCGTAATGATTAGGAATTGGCACGATGGCTTTGGACTGAGGTCTCAAACTGGAGTGTAAACCCCGGAAGTGCATGGATAGGTATACAGACATCTCGGCCCATAGTAGGCTCGAGGTTTGAAAATCAAGTACCATATTCCCCGGCCATCAAGTCGCTTTTCTGGACCCAATTTTTTGGTTTAATTTTACGGTGGGGGGCGCCTTATTGGGCGGCTATGCTTATTTTATTCATCCTGAGTTCAGATTATTTTTTGCATTAGTCTTCTTAAACATGATTTGTGTAATATTGATATATTTTATAACGCCAAAGTGTCCAGTAAGCAACCATACTGTACCTGTATATATCTCCCTGGTTTGGGTTCGAAAGTTGGAAAGCATCGAGTTTGGAAGGGTCATCTGAGCAAAGCACCATCCACTCGTGTATAACAATCATTTTGCACGGATGTTGCTTGAACTAAACAAAAAAAAATTTACAATTGAAGATCGCAAACCTAGGACAACGAATACGAAGCAATAAAGACAAAATTCTTCCCGAAACATGGGGTTAGTGTTTCTCAAAAGTGCCCCTCAGATTTCCTCGAGGCCTTCCTTATTTTCCTCTCCCCCCCGGGATAAATATGTCAATCCCTTTTTTATTTACAAAGCACTTCTCGGAAGGGCCAATTTATCAAATTTTTCTCTACCTTGGATAAACCTGAAATTACTGTACTATATACCAGGGCAAATCAACTATTTTCACCAAAGGTCCGTTTAGAAAACTTCAAAAATACTGGGGTCCGGACATTACAGAATATTTATTTCATTAAATAAACGAAACGTCAAATAATGGCCCGCAAATATAAACACAAATGTCGCATATTGGTACCAGTACGACAAACTGTATAGCTGTGTATTTAAATTGTTTCAAAATCATCTGAAAGTACCAAACGATGTTTATGCTGCCAAAACAAACAAGCAGACGCGGTCCAAATTAAATTGTCGAAAGGTCCGGATTCGGACCGCGGTCCGCCAGTTGAGTAGCCCTGCTATATACTTACATGATGTCTCTCATTCGCCCTTATGCCTTTAGCTGAATGAAACAGAAGTTGCGACTTGTGAAGACAAACCCAGAACTTTGTCCATGAAGGCATCTAGGAAGGAAGTGAAAGATCAAGGGTCAATAACAAGGTTCAAGGGTCAATTGCTAGATGAGTATCGTACACGCCTTTCACTCTAAGCAAGGCTATGTACGGACGGCCACTGCTAGAAACTGCTATTTTTCAATTATGTATATGACGATTACTCGTTCGCTTTTTGCTCAAAAAATATCTCCGTTGCATGCAGCCAACTTAAAAACGCTGCTTCATAAAACATGAAAAATGTTTATTTTTGGGCTTTTAACACTCAGAATAATTTGGTAAAAATTGCTTTAAACTTTGAGTAATGGGACGTGAAGCCAATTAAAAATAAAAATATTTGTTTCATTTTCAACAAGTTTTTTGAATAAAAAATACTGTTGTCTCACTATCTGTTATTTGTAGCTTATTATTAGCTAGTTATTTTTGAGGTGGGGCGCAGACTTGACAAATTCTAAAAACGGGGCGAGGTTACCATCAAAAAACTCACAGGTGGCTTCTTTCCTTTCTTAAGAACTGTTTTCCTTCTCAAACATCCTTCAAATAAAATACGTCCCAGATCCATCCGACTCTCTGAAGCACTGTTAAAAAATGTGTGAAATTTAAATTGTTTATTATATTTTATGCACTATAAAGCCTGCCGTATTATAAGGCGCTCTCACAATAAATTGCTCAGATTGGATTTTTATTCGTATATATAAGACACATTGTACTATAAGGCGCAGTAGTGGTACTGATTTCAAGTGCAAGCAATGAAGCATTAACAATACATTAGGCACAGACTTACAACAAGACGCACGATCGATATATTTATATCGCTGTGATGTGTAATTAGTGAGTAGTAATTGACTTTATGCCCAGGACTTTCATTGAATCCCTACTGATTCTGCTTCTAACAAAAAAATGCTGCAGCCACTTTGATTCACAAAAGCGAGAGCCTCAAGAACGAAGAGTTGCATATGGCTCTGGAGCCGAAGGTTGTCAATCGATGCTTTAGGCCAGGGATGTGCAACCTTTTTCACTGGCGGGCCAAATTCAAGAAACTGAGTAAAGCCGCGGGCCGCACATTTATTTATTATAGACCTTCTAGTAGTTTCAAGCATAAAAATTGTTTATATTTTCTATTCACCTCATGGCATTATTAGGGTTTCTTGCAGAAATAGTGAGTCAAACGCATAAACTTCTGAAAAACTGCTATTCAAATTTATCGCCACACCGACTTTAATCCAAGTCAGTGAGAAACACGTTTTTGTAATATATTTTGTATATTTTGCAACAGAACTTTGCTAGCTAGTTTTGCTAATACGACAGTGGCACTCAGCACCGGTATACGCTTTGTGGCGCAGAAGGATTAGAATTTCTCGCACGTACCAGATTACCTAAACTAAATGCTCGTTTCACGGGCACACCATTCAAAGTTGTTATTTCTCCGCGGGCTGCACAAATTTTTTTTGCGGGCCGCATGTGGCCCGCGGGCCGCAGTTTGCACACCCCAGCTTTAGGCTTTCCTCTCTGAGATAAATATAAAATCCCACCACTACTAGTGGGGAATGAACTCTTAACCTTTCTTCCTGATCTTCTTCCTGTAACAAACTTTCTTCTTCATACTGTCTTTCTATTTGGTGAATCAAAATTCCTGGGTTCGATTTTGAGCTTTTCACCTTTAACCCTTGACCCTTATAACTTTCCATGACCTTCATATGACCTCTTGACCTTGAACTTAGTGGAAAAGTCAAACTTTTTCTCTGATCACTGACTAAAGTATCTGAGTCTCTGTTGCCAAAGCGATGAACCCATTTCCTAGAAATTAAACCAATGACCTTCGAACTCTGACCCAGATTATCAACAAAATTATTTTCAAGGTTTATCATGGAGATTTAGATCACTATCAAACCGGACACGAAGTGGATTTATTCATCGTTCTGCTAAATCGATATTCGCGGCCACTTTTTTTGGTATGGCAACTTTAAATTCTCAGTACCGAAAGATGGCTATTACTTTTTTATTTCAATTCATTTCCGAGAGGTATGAGGTCTGGGGCAATTTTTTGAACAACATATTTCTACCATTTACCCTCAGTTTTAAGGGACTATTAGCTTTATTTTTTACTGATCTGCTACCCTGGGAGTTTAATATTTGTGAAGGGATTACTGAACTCTATGCCGCTGTAGGGTGGTTCACATAACCGCTGGTCAGTTACGGCTTCCTCCACTATCAAGCCCACGCTTCCAAAATAAGATAACTGGCTAACTAATCCCATACCCGACATGGACTGGTAAACGGACAAGAAGCCATGGTTAAGCACTGCTCTCTTCTTATGCTTATTTCAAATGTAGAGAATTCAAAACAACTATAAAATTTAACAAAAGGGTCATAAACACAAAACTTATCCTCTATACCTCTTTTTACTCAACCATAAATGTATTCTTGATATCACAGAGAAAAAACATATCACATGTCTACTGAAGCATAAAATATATCTATGACATCACACATGTAACCAAAACAACCAATACCTGATGCCATTCCATGACGTATCGTCACTAAATTCTGACCCCGAATTTGAACGGCTGCTCCCGATGGACCCGCTGTTGCTAGGGAGACCCGTTTGCGCCCCCGGTGATATGATGCTGTCGTCTAGGAGAGAGGTTGTCATGACAACAGGCAAATGTGCCGGCCCGACTTGCTGAGCACTTCTTGGTAGACTCCCGCTGTGGAAAAAACGAAAGTAGAAAACACTCATAGAAAGTTGCTCATATACAGGTTATCTCAAGGACCAGAGTCCTCAACTGGAAAAATCTTCAGTGCAAACCATGTTCGGGCCACAGATAATTGCAACAATACAACTACTTTCATGCAAACAAAAAAAATTCTGGCAAGAAACGTATCATGAAACATCATCAGACAAGACACAGACGGGCAGACATGCTAACAAAAGGACTAACAACCAGTATAAAGCGAGGAGTCAACATATATACTTTCCGAATATAGCCTATAATGCATATCATTGCTCGTTTTCTCATGCCATGCTTGTTCATGCCTTCCAATCTGAACAAGGCCTCGTACAAGGACCAGAATCCATTGGGCGTATATGCATGGTATTAAGATCTCTGTATAAGCACATGACATGATATGAAACTGGCTGTATATGTACATTGAATGGTTAGCTGTGTTATGTATATTTGTTTGGCTGTATTCATACAGTTTTGGCCGTATATGCATAATTGATTGGCTGTATACGTAATTAGTAGTTATAGATATAGTTAGTTGGTTGGTGGTATGCGTACAGTTTTGGCTGTATAATACGTACAATTGTTGACTGTATACATATAATTGGTTGTAAAAAGTTAGCGGTTGGCTATATGTCAAGTTCTGGCTGCATATGTACAGTTGTGGCTGTATATGTACATGGTGTTACCTTTGGTCAGGAGATGATTGTACTCTGTGGAGTTGAGGTGGTTGCAATGGCGAGGCTCCGTTTGATGCGCCAAAGTCTCGTGATTTCAGTCTTGCAAAAGAACGTCTATGAAGCAAATTATGAAAGAAAAGCAACATAAATGAAATGAAAAAGCACAGGAAAAAGAAATTATATCACAGATTTACAAAAAAATTATTTATCTAAAAAAATTCAAAAACAGTTCAAGCACGTGTACCGTATTTGCTCGTTTTGTAGCCCGGGCCCATATTTTTTTAACCAATCTCACTAACCGGGCCCTTATTCAAACCGGCCCTTAGTTTTGCGACGCCCTATCAATATTGAAACGAAGCACTTGGGAGTCGCGACGCCCAGTTTGAGAACCACGGTGTTACGTAATTAATGCTATCTGTTATGTAATTGGCGCCTTAGGCGTGGGTGTCATCTACCAGCGCTTAAAATTCAACAGCGTTGTGACAAAAGTGCTTCTTATTTCCTATTGTTCTCTACCACTGAAAAAACAGCTTTTACATTGGGCAGGTATTCAAGCACCGGCCCTCATTCATTTTTATGTTCTGTTCACATGTGCGGCTATTCAAACGGGCCCCTAATCAAGATCGGGCGGTAAAACGAGCATATACGGTATATTCGAATCTATTCAGTAATACCAGTATCTTAATTATAAATACTGATATTGGTATCAGCCAATACCGGGTGCTCCCCTCTCCCAGGCCGCGAATATCCTTCCTTTTCTATTATTTGTCTTCCGGTCAATCAACTTAGGAAACCACTCCACCAAGCCAAAATTCATATTTAGCCCAAATGACCGGTAAACCTAGCCTCCTCCCTCAAGATGATGAAATGGAGATTAGGACTTTGAAATTATGGAAATTAGAAGATTGCAATTATAGCAAAAATTATCAAAAAATAAAGAACATAAATGATTCGGCAAATAAGTGAAATATTTCACACACAAATGCATTTGCTCTGAACTAGACTATACCCAGGATGGGCTAACTACAACCCGTCGAAGTGTTTCATCCGGCCTACTTGTTTCGGCTGCAATTACGACTATAGTTTTTATGGATATGAATTTCTATTGAAAATATCGATGAAAATGATGTCATAATGACCCCGATTGTTACATTGTGCTTCTTATTATTATGTAAACGTTAGCCTAGCTGTTGGACATAAACTGAATTTAATCTATTGAGTTTTGAACCTCAAGTCCAGTAACCAAGTCCATTATCTGTAACTGGCCCAATTTGAAATGCCTACCCCTGGTCTAGAGCCATATTCGGAACTAAAATTAGACATCACATGAAAAGCACATAGAAATTACACACTATTCTCACCTTTTATGTAGTTTAGCTGGATCTGTACGTGGCCTGATGTCCCGTCCAAGGCTATGTGATTTCCGATGTCCCGGTTTGAACAGTTGTTGGGTTGGGGGGGTCATTGATCTACGAGGGAGGGTGTGGTCTGTCGGTAACGCTAACTCCTCCCGCGATGCATTTAATCCTTTGTGCGGCGTATTTGATTGCTTTGGCTCGATTTTTAGAGATCGCCTAAAAAATAAATGATGTATTTTATTTTTCTGCAAGTTTACTAAATCAAGGTAAAATACATTAATGAAAATGTTGGAATATTTTATATCTAGCAAAGTTACAATATATAGATGAATTCCTGAGAGATAAATGTCCTGAAATATTGCAAGCAGTTAAGAAAAATCTCCCAATTTTCCCAAGTGCTCAGTTCCCTGTTAATGAGGTGAAAAGAAGACTGATGGATAGAAGCATACTCTGATACACTGAGCACTATATACAGGCTAGGGTTTTGGCATGGCCTAAAACCCTCAACCTAAAGAGTATTGAAAGAAGAGATGCAGGCCCTCCACTAAATACAAGCATTAGCTCAGAAAAAGATCTTGAGACTTCAACGAGAAAGAGAGTACTGATATGAATGGCACATGTATTACATGAAACTAATTCCAATTTAATACTGTCAAGAAAATGCCCAACATACTTGTAATTGTCGTCTTCGACGAATCGTTGCAATTCCTCAATATATTTCACGGATTGAAGGAAATTTTTGATGTGGGGAATTTCTCTTAAGTTATCTGAAAAAAAAATAACCTTTGTTATTTCAAAGTTCATTGGAATTTATGAGCAAAAGTGAGGGTAATTGTGTTTGCTAAATTGCTTATAATGCCAATATTCAAAAACATAATATAACATTTTTGGATGACGTAGTCAGTTGGGAATAAGGCATAACATGTCCAAAAATGTATGCGCCACGCTAACTAGAAGTACTTACGAAGTTTACAGCGATTAGTAAACATGCACCAGAAATTTCATTCGGATTGGTCCAGGCGTTCAGACGCTACAGCTAAACAAGCAGATAGACAAACGACTAAAACGACACTGTCTCCTCAAGCGTAGATCCAAAACTCGATTTCAAATATTGAATATTGATTCAATTAGTGAAGAATGATTAGGTCATCTTATAAGCTTTCCGCTCCCCATGCAATATCTTACCATATTGAGATTGCTGGAATTCCGCTAAAATTCGCAGAATATTATTCATCTTATTTGTTCGCTCATGCGGTTCGAGTCCGCCAGTATCTGGATGGGCGGAGTCAACGAATATTAAATCCCCAAGATATAAACCTGAAAAATTGAGAAAAAATTTGTTAAGTATGAATTTTGAATGTTAAGAACAACTATCATTCGACATTGATTCAGGCATTTCAGTGTTTTTGCTAATCCGGGTATACTGCCAGGAAAACAAGGCAAATCTACCTAAACCGTCAAAAACCTACCAAAAACACACTCAAACATTCTAAAACCGCCTATAACCTAATGAAAATTCACAAAACACGGCGATGTGGTGCATCATGCTAATTAATCGCTAGGAATACGCTTGCCGCAGCTCTGATTATCCTGCGTGGTTTCGCAGATTCGAATCCCATGCAGGCATAATCATGTGCGAGAGGATTGCTGGACTCCTCGCCGCTAAAGGATGGTTCGCTTACCCGCTGCCAAAACTGGTAAAAACTCACGAAAATAACAAAACAAAGTGCCAAACCAACCAAAAAACCTACTAAAATATGAAAAACCCAAAAACTGTTAAAAACCTACTGAAAAACACTTAGGTGCTGAAAATATTAAAATTGTCAAACTCTAATACCAAATTTAAAAATTCAAACCCTGTATCAGAAATTTCTGCATCAGTGCACAAAAATAGGACATACCTAAATACGGAATGCAGGGTAGCTTAATCCCTTCTATATGCTTCCGTAAATTCATTCGATTATTTTCCTCCGACATCAAAATCCTTAGCCGATCAAATGTTGCTCTGTAGTGTTTGTTCACAATCTAGAAAAAAAAAAGTTTATGGATATCAAGCATTATTGGACGTGAAGTAATCAGTTTGCTAAATTATTGTTGTTGTTTTTATGGTACTCTCGAAGTATGTGAGCCAAGATAGCGGACACAGGAACGTTGTGTGTGTACCAAGTTTGAGTTAGGCCATAATTTGATTCCAGTCTTAGTTTCAATAGGTGTTCAGGGACTAGCCAAGTGACTCCCGTAGTATTTGTATCTGAAATTATGACCTAAACCTAACCTGGTACGCATACTATGGGAGAAAGGCCATAATTTGATTTCAATTTTAGTTCTGAAAAAATATTTGTACAGGATGCCATTACAATGGAGGAACTACCGTAGATTAGGGGTTGTTATTGTTGGGGAAAATTCTTTTTTGCAACTCTTTTTTTCACGGTTTTTCATATGTATTTCACCCAGCTTTTTTACAGGGAGCACCAGGTAAGGTTCCATAGATTGAAAGAACTAGAATCTACCCGTTTCGGCATTGCCTGTCCAAATTATTATACCCCAGGTAAGGTGTTTAGCATGGGATTTTATAAAAAGCTCCTGAAAGGCCAAAATTTTTCTATGAAAACTGATATGGGGGACTGTAGATATTCAATCTGAGAGGCAGACAAAGTTAGTTGAGCTCAGCAAAATTGAGGTTCATGCTTTGTCAAACCTCGCTAACTAGCTAAGCTACAAATAACAGGTAGTTAGGCAAAAGAAAATATGTCGATGGACCGTAAATATTAAAAACAAAGAAATGTAAATACCCTCACAATGACGAGCAAGATCAAACCTAAAAAATATTTTTATTTTCAAGTAGCTTCCCTCCCCCCCTTCAACAAATTGTCCACGCCCCCCTTGTTGGCCACACCCCATCGTTTCAGAACCATCCACGGTTTAGTTTGCATTTTTACAACACAGAATAGGAAGTCAAAAATTTCTTTAGCCCAAAGTCAAAACTTGGGAGCAAGAATGGTTTCCATGCGACGAATAGTTGGCGCTCCAGAAGTAAGTGTACCAATATGGAGATAACTAATTTGGTTCAGCTACTTTACATCAAGTTGTATAAAGGGACTGAAACCTATGGGCAGGGGTATATTCACTTGGCTAACACAGACAGTCAACGAACTCGTAATAGAACTAAAATAAGGGAAATCGGAATAAAATTATGGCCTAACCCCAACCTGGTACACACACTTCGGGAATACCAAATAGTCCGTGAACCTTGTTACTCACCCCCCATGTCTTTGTGAGTCGATGTATCGGTGCAGAACTCAGAGACATCACTACGGCCATCAGACTGTGTAAATTGTTCAAATCGTTTAATTTCTTCGCAATTCGAATAAAATGTGTGACGACTTCGGCTCGTATTTTTAACGTTTGAGCATGGAGTACCTCATGTACGACATAAAAACTTGTATTATTGAAACGTTGCGTCATCTGCACGACGTTCGGAGCAATTTCATGTTTGTCCTTCTTTATCCAGCCGCAACCTGGCAAAAACAAAAAAAGTTTGATACAAATTAGATTGAATTGTGGATCCAAAACAAAAAGTGTGAAGAGTACGTACAAGGGAACTGAGCTAAGAGCTCTATATTTAATGATGCCTTTTTATCCCCCAACGAATCAGCAAAGGAAAATGGTCTATACCAGCGATCGGCAACCTGCGGCTCCGAAGCTGGATGAGACTCTTTGTTCTGGGGGTCTGGCTTTCGTGAATCGAAGTGGCTACAGCGCTCCATACAGAGCCCAAGAACTCTAAAAAAACACTAGGGACTCCACAAGCTATTCTTTTACTTATTAAAATACTGAATACTTTTAAAATACGAAGCAGTGAACACTTTCGGAGTCATTGAATAAAGTAATTTCAGTTCACTCAGAGACATCAGTCGGTAAATAACGATGTGTGTTTTGTTTTTATTTTTTCTAATTTATTGTGAGGCTTCGTAAACGATAGTCAACTTCTCCACCGACTCCACAACACCAAAACTGATCTATACAAATTTGAGCGAGCAACATCTAATTCGAGTGACACTGAAGAGCCAAATTACAGCCTGTCAAAGCATTTTGCGTCGCCCTCCTGCTCTTCAAGAAAATTTTTGAAAGTTACATACAAATTTAGATTTACCGTATTTCCCGGCAAATAAGTCTATCCGGTCAATAAGACGAGGCCCGTTTTTAAGCCTGGAAAAATGGGTTTTTGCATATAACCTGCCAATAAGTCGGGTAGTAAAATCGCATCAACATCGGAATCTCAAATCACCATGCAATCAATGCCTTTTGAGCGGTCGCCGCTTTGCGTATTGGTTAAAACAGCCTATAATGACATTTACTTGTAGCGTAATATTCAATCCATAATAACTATAAGAATTCGAACTGTTTTTAAATTTTAATCTAATTGTGTTCAACTTGCGATTGCGTCCACCATAAAATAGCATTACGTAATACATAATGAGGCGACACCAAAAAAATAAAAATTATCATACTCGCCTAATAAGTCGACCCCCCCAAAATCAAGCCAAAAATTTGGGTCCAGAAAACGACTTATTTGCCGGTAAATATGGTATTTTTCATCTTCATTAAAATATTTAATCTATGAATAATTTAATTTTGTATCCAACAAGGCCGGGTGGATTGGGGGGCACAAAATGCTTCAGCAGGCCATAATTTGCCCATACCTGTCGTAGTAGCAAACACATACAATCTCACCTGTTAATTCTTGAGGCTGGATCTCTCTGAATGCGGCCAGGTCAAGCAAAGTCAACTGACTGGCAAAATCTTCTGGCGAAACTTTCAAAACATGAAAAACAACGGAGTCGAAACTTTTATGGTGATGCTCGTTTGTTCCGCTAGAGGGCTCGGATACCTTAAGTAAAAAGTTTTGTTTAAATTATGAATTAACAAAAAATAGTTGTGATAGGATTTATATCTAAGGCCAATAAAAAAACAGGAGCAAAGAAGTGACCATAAATTATGCATCCAGCGCCCATCAACAGCCTAAACCTAAAAGGGAGGAGAGACAATAAGAAGACTTATTCATAAAAGTTTTATATTTATTCCAGGTTGAAAGGAGAGCTGATAACATGGCTTTTATCAGATTACCAGTTCATGTCGGTATGGGATTAGTTTGCCAGTTATTTGTTTCATGGGTTTGGTGGTGGAGGATGCCAGGATTGACCAGTGGTTACATAAACCTATGTGACTGCAGTAGACTTTAACTTTTACAGGCCCCTTGCCTAATCTAGGGGTAAATTATTAAATTCAACCCATATAAATTATAGTCACACATGTATCAGCGTGTTTATTTGTGAGGATTGTCGAGTAAAGTACTTCAATCTTGATTTAGTGTTTAGTTGAAGGCTATTTCACAGTCCTAGTATGTATGCTTTGTAGTAGGAATATTTAATTTACCTCCCCATCGGAACTTTCGTCAGGGTAATACCCCTCGTAATTTGTCATTTCTTCCACCGGTCTCCACTCTGTACGTTTGCGTGAACCTTTATTACTTTTACGTGAACTCTGAACTTCAAACTTTGATCCTGGTTGGTTTAATGAGGAAGAACCACCGAGGTTTTTATAGGAGCTCGCTTTTTTCCGTGAAAACGAAGGACTCGACAGCAAGGAAGATGTACGTCGTACGTGACTCCCAGGTGAAGAAGGTTGGCTACGACTGGAACAGTCACTTGCACTATATTGTAAGGAATGAGTTCGATTTGGGGACAAACGATGTGACGGGGGTAAAGTTGCACTTTTGTTCGGACTGTTTGGTGATGAACGTACAGAAACGTCGCTACGGTTACGGCGAACAGAATTGTTAGGTAATAGTTCGTCTCTGTTATTAACAATGTCACTATAGTTACGATATAGCGATGATTGTTTATTGCTGTTACCGTGACGATGACCTTTGACAGTGTGAAGCCCAGGAGATTGGCCTTTATTCGTCACAAATGAGTTATCGAAGAAAAGTGGGGAGATCTGAAAATGAAATTAAAAAATTAGCAACATACCAAACACGCTTGAAAGAGCTGGAGCACACTCATGGACATTTTGATCAAAGAAGATTCACTCACTCAGAAATAAAAGAGACTCATCTCTGAGCAAAGGGAGCCGAAACTATACAGGTTTACGGGAGTACATTGACTCAGAATTAAAAGGCAAAGTTACCGGCAATCACTCAGAAGTAAAGGATACTCATCTCTGAGCAAAGTTATGAGCACTCACTCAGAAGTAAGGAAGACTCATCTCTGAGCAAAGTTATGAGCACTCATTCAGAAGTAAGGAAGACTCATCTCTGAGCAAAGTCATGAGCACTCATTCAGAAGTAAGGAAGACTCATCTCTGAGCAAAGTTACAGGCACTCACTCAGAAGTAAAGGAGACTCATCTCTGAGCAAAGTTACAGGCACTCATTCAGAAGTAAGGAAGACTCATCTCTGAGCAAAGTTACAGGCACTCACTCAGAAGTAAAGGAGACTCATCTCTGAGCAAAGTCATGAGCACTCATTCAGAAGTAAGGAAGACTCATCTCTGAGCAAAGTTACAGGCACTCACTCAGAAGTAAAGGAGACTCATCTCTGAGCAAAGTTACAGGCACTCATTCAGAAGTAAGGAAGACTCATCTCTGAGCAAAGTTACAGGCACTCACTCAGAAGTAAAGGAGACTCATCTCTGAGCAAAGTCATGAGCACTCATTCAGAAGTAAGGAAGACTCATCTCTGAGCAAAGTTACAGGCACTCACTCAGAAGTAAAGGAGACTCATCTCTGAGCAAAGTCATGAGCACTCATTCAGAAGTAAGGAAGACTCATCTCTGAGCAAAGTTACAGGCACTCACTCAGAAGTAAAGGAGACTCATCTCTGAGCAAAGTTATGAGCACTCATTCAGAAGAGAAGGGGACTCATATCTGAGCAAAGTTACAGGCACTCACTCAGAAGTAAAGGAGACTCATCTCTGAGCAAAGTTATGAGCACTCATTCAGAAGTAAAGGAGACTCATCTCTGAGCAAGAACACTAAGCCTGTACAGATTTACGGTGGTACACCCACTCAGAATTAGATGGCAAAGTTACAAAATCACTCATAAGTAAAGTCATCTCTGGGCAAAGTTATAAGCACTCACTCAGAAGTAAAAAAGTAGTTTCTGTGATAGAGTGGGAGGGAATAAAAAGTTTCAAAGGAGGGAGGGTTTAATTTAACAAAAAAAAATTGGAAACCACTGGACTAGTGGAGCATAACGAAATAAAATATACGAAAAGGAAAAGAAAAATGGAGAAGTCTTAAAAACATTTAAATTATTTAACGAAATACTTTACCTTCTGAGTGTAAGACGCCGATACTGGATTTGCGGAGGGTGATGTGGGGAGTCTATGTCTGGAACGTGGTGAAGCAGGAGGTGGGGGGAGTTTCCTCGGAAGAGACGCTGATTTTCCAGAGGGGGGAATATCGTTATACCAAGTTAAAAGTTCGGACGATAAAGAAATAGAATCTTTTGGTCGGTTATTGTTCCCGTCAAATTCAAAATGTTCGTCTTCTGATTCTATTGGTTGAATTACAACCTTTGGAGATTTAAGACCATTGTTTCGAAATAATATCCCATTGTTAACATCACAATCATCAGACAATGATTCGTTAAGTATTCCATTATCTTCCCATTTTTTGCTGATACGTTTTAAAATTTTATCTTTTCCTACATTTTCGGAACCATTCAATTTCTGATCCTGAAGTAGAAATGGATTTGATTTGATAGACGACACCTCCAACACCCCCAAACTTCCACTCCGCAATTTGGGCCGACTCAACGGCGACAGCTGGTGGCCAGTTTTCTCTGAAACAACCTGAAAGTAAGAATGAAATCATAAATTTTTTATATGGATTATTTGCATTTCTTTCACTCTGAAAAAGGCACTGTACAAGCCACCACTGCCAGCTGAGGAGGCGCAATAATTTGGAAAGATCGAAATTTTTCTAGTATAATATTTCCTCCCCAATTTATCATACCATGGGTAAAGTGGTGGACATGAGATTTGAACCCGGGATTTTAAAACAGCGATGCCATATTACAAATTTGTTAAGTCCTACGCTTTAACCACTTGGCCACCACTCCCAATATAAACTGAATCACCAATATGTTTTTCATCACAGAGAGCGTGAACAAGCCTAATTAATTAAAAGCTGTGGAGCAAATTTGGTTAGCAGTTATGGGTGCATGTAGGACTATTGATATTTGGGAAGTATCTTCATCATAGCCAAACAAATTTACTCAAGTTTGCTTTGAATAAGCTTTTGCACAAGACATACAGTTACTGGTGAATATCCAGCTTTGAAAGTACTGTCCTTAAACCTCGGGTCATGAATTAAATCACAGAGGTAAGTCTTAAGTTGGTCGAGTATGATTTCGACTGATCTATTATAATAGCTTATTAACAAGTGCCAGTGGCCAAACAACGCAACGAGTAGCAACCCTTCTATAAAGCAACTCCACTTCAGTGAAAGATAATATGCCACTCAAGCTAGAGATTTTTAATGAAAAACTGTGAATGTAGATTCTAAAATTGATTGAGACAAGTTCACATTACCGCACTTTAGCGTGTATCGAAGCTAATTCACAATGAAGTTTGAGCACACAGCAATGCTAATTTACACTAAATTTTTCCTGTTAGTCTACAAATACTTATAATAGCTGGTAAGGCAAAAAGTGATTTGGCAATGTACAATTTCGGATGTATATGGTTATAAATGATGCATTGAGTTCACATAACCACAGCTCAATCACTGCTAATATACCTACAGTCCGAGCGTATAGCAATGCTAATTTACGCTATATTCAGTTTTTCTATATCTCAAGCTACGAAATAGCTATAAAGACTCGTCCTATAGATTCATGACTTGTGGGACTGAACTACGTTTTGTGCAATACATGCACTATGTTCAAAATGTACTCGGTTTCGTCTTATTGGGTCACCCTATTGATTGCATTGATTTCACATACCTACAGCGCAAATTATTTGTAATTTTTACCCTCAAGTGACAATTGATAGTGTAATGGTTTTCCATGTTTTGTTTAGAGTTATCATCAGTCGTTATTTAATTTCATATTCACTAGTGAAAATAATGATTGTTTAGTAGCATCAATCTGCTGACAATACTGTGAGCACATGCTCTACTATTTTAGGTAATCTGTAAGCATGTAATTTTGTGTTTTTGCACATGACATTCAAAAAATCGAGTACCAGAAATCGCATCAGTTCTGATATAAGTACGACTTGTGTAGAGCCCTACACAACGCCACCCAATAATGATAGGATTTTCAGGAAAGATCCAACAGCAAGTTTCTCCTTCATGCAGACATTATTTAAATTTCATGACTTACAGTTACATTCTTCTTTTTTAAAATGAAAATATATTTTTCGACCCATTCTAGTTCTATAACAATCCCACTTCAATAAAAGATAAAGCCACTTGAAAATCCTCGTCCATCTAAAGAGCGCTCGCATAAATGACAAGAGTCACTCAACCGTGAGATAAATGATTCATCAAACAGAGTTGAAAAGGTCAATCTAGCATGGCTCGATGATAAAGTGTTCGACACAAAATTTTGCCCACTTAGACTGGCGGGCCATGTAAGTGTGACATAAAAAGTCACTTTAAATGAACAATATTCACAGTGCTACAAAAGCAAAAGTGGAAAACAATATGCCTCGTGCGAAAAGTAAATTTAACCGCAATCTCAACAAATTCCTTGAGCTATTTTTAGCTAAAATATTAAAATTTTGTTTCAGTTTGGTAGTGGCAGCATCAGGCAGGCCAGATTGAATTACCCAACAGACCATATTTGGCCCGGGCACCGTATTTTGCCCATGTCTGTGTTACACTCACTCACTCACTATGAGGTATAAGTGACTAATTTCGGAGTACAGTTACGTACGACCACTAACTAAAGTGCCAGGAAAGAGAATTATGGTGGTACATCGCACTCACTCACTAACAGGTAACAGAAAGACTCGTAGCGGAGTAAAGTTACAGACAACCCCAACCTATATAGGTTATCACGGTACATTACACGCTAGCAAATGTTGTTTATTAATATGCGACGCATGAAAACCAAGTCAATACAACCAGAGAAACACCTGGGAAGTGAAGTTCTTGAAAAAACTCTTAAAAATAAAAATTGGTCCTTGGTAAATTTATTTTCCGCTGGACCTGCAACTCCCAACTTTTTGATATCTTTACCATAAAAACACAGTAGACATTTCGTTATCAATTTTTCTTTGACCAATATTAGCGATAATAGCAACACCTATTGCATCGTCCGATCACACTTCGAGATTCTAAACTTACGCTAGCCTAGCATTTTAGCCTACAATCTGTATGACGCAGAATTGTTATTACGCCCCTATGAGTCGTGTGACTAGACCAGTGTTCTTCAACCTTTTTCATCGTGTTATACCTTTTACAATTTTTCAAGAGCTTTGTATACCTTACAAATACCAATGTATATTTAAGGTTTAAATAAACATTAAATTTCAAGCACATATTATACTGCAACATCACCGTGCAATCTAATAGGCTAGTGTCCGCAAGTTAAAACTTTGGCTGACGGCCTTAGCGTTAACAGGAACAATGTTCAACGTAAATCATACGAAGAGCATGGCAACCGAAATCACCAACCCAGACACGTAACCGCATTATCTATATAACTTGTGATGCAACAAAGTGCTCACGTCGGTTTTCTGCGTAACAGACATATTACATTTCATGTGCGCCGCGTTTGCATTGTTGTCTCCGCTTAAATATTTTAAAATTTATTATATCAGAATTTAGAATCCCTGACCTAAGCTGTACACCCTTTGTATACCCGTTATCAGTTGTATACTCAAATTATGGTTCGGTATACACTTGGGCATACCGTATACCCGGTTGAAGAGCACTGGACTAGTTGACTTGGCTCACTGACTCGATGCAAGCATTGCATATTCAGCTTTTACGCAGACTAATCAATTAAAAGGGGAATTACAAAAGAAATGTAAAATCTGGATTACCCCCTAAAATTGCCAATTTATAACCCTTAGTTTGGGAAGCACTGCGTTAGGCTGACAGTGAACGTACTTATACATTTTCAATAAGTAAATACCACCACCTCAGAGTTTGAATCGGAGAAAACAGATTCATCAGAACACCAGCTTATGACATCAAAATGATTTTCATCATCTTCATTGTCTTCTCCTACTGTGAAGTCACACTTGACATCGTTCACAAGCAATTCTATTGGTGATCGCTCATCCATGGAATAATTCCCAGAATCCTCGATGGCTGCTTCATCGGAATCATCAAAACGTTGCCATGACGATAGTCTCTCTTTGCATGAGAAAGAGGGCATGGCAGAGCTATGTCGACGCCCATTAGGGGGTAAATGTTTGACGATTCCATCATGAGATCTCGAAGACTCGAGTATGAATTCAATCTCTGGAGTCTGCTTGGAGGATTTCGATTTTTTATAATCCACGCTACTGAATGACGCAGAGTTTTTGCGAGGCATTGCTATGGAAATACATAGAATTCTACGAAATAGGAAAGGCAACAGAATATATAAATGTACATATTAAAGCAGTCGTATCAATTTATCTTATGCCTCATTTTAATAAGGTTTCACTCCAAGCACACTGCAAATCTCACCATACATATACAGACAATTGTATCAAATAACAAGCAGAATAATTCTCAATTTCTGGAGTTATGCAGACTGTATGACATCCGCTTCATAGTGATCTTTTTGAGAATTTATTGAAAATATTACAAAGGCATATCACTCTTTAAACTGGTATCTGATCATAGTTTAAACAATATTCATCAAAGTATTTCAATAAAAAGTTTTAAAATCGAGTTTTTAAAATCAAAAATTCACATTTTATATATATTTACTGAACAAGCTTTTTCTTATCTCTACTTTTCGGTTAGAGAAAGTCTTTGATATATCACCAATTATAGTTAACAAGGTAAAAACTAGAATTCGGTTGAAAACCGAAGACTTATCGATCGAAGGTTAGGGGGTCCCCCAAAACAGTGGTCTTACTCCATAGTGACACCGTGTGTCCCATCACTAATTAATTAATAACTCGCTAATTATACGACATAATCCATCCAAAATCAATAGGCTTCTGATCCGAGCTAAGATGAATGCACATGCAAATATTGTAGCAGATTGAACCTCGCTTTCGTGAGATATCGAATCTAACACACAGACAAACAGACATACAGACAGATAAATACCTATCAACATACTTACCGATTAAAATCGATAAGCAACAATGAGTGAGACATTGTTTGAGAATACATTGAAAAGCTATTTCACTTTTCTTACTGGAATTGCCTTTGAATAAATATTAAGCTAAAATAATTCAAAACTTGATATAAACCATGATTATAACTGAAAACTAAAAAATTTGCAGATATAATATTTTCTATGTCAGTGGTTTCCAACCTCTTTTATTATATTCCCTGGCCCTGTCTATTCGAAAACTTCCATTCCTCACTCACTGCTCATAATAACTGTTTCCATTTGTTGTTATAGCCTTTATGGTTTATTGGCTAGCCATACTCACAATGCTAGTTAGTGTTATGCTCTAATCACATTCTGACTTTTGAACAGTTCAAATAGTTTATTATGTATGTACAGCGACAACATAACTTAATTTTATTCAAGAATCTTGCACACTAAGACAAATATATTTCTGTAACGTTTCGTCTGACCTAGGTCAGACTTCTTCAGACAAGCACTTCACAACTGTGGAAAGAAACGCAAAGGCATGCACATAAAAAATGGTATCATGGTATCAATGATATCACATAAATAATGGTATACGCATACGTATCCACTTCCACAAAGGTATAGAGCAAGGAAAGCTAATTTTAGTTTCACGTAACCCCAATTGTTAGTTAACCTAATTCCGAAACTATTTATTTCTCTTTCACTAAACTGTTCATATTTGTTTCCCAACCCAGTAAGGCTTTTTGGGTAGTGATAAGCACAAGTCATACTCTGATTTTTGTACTGTTTGAAATTTGAATAAAATTAAAAAAATGTATGCAAAAATGTATTGCAATAATACTAAATAAGTAATATGCTAATGAGTGATATTTTAGCAAAAGCAAAAACATTGTTCACAGAAAACATACCAACAGATCTAGCTGTGACTGTGACTTCCTTAAGTTAGCTAGCGATATGAACAATTCCCACTCTGGCTTTTGCACAGATACAATAGTTCATAATGTGTCCATATTACATATGATAATAATATAATATTAAATAACTAAATAATATCGGTAATACTACACACAAACACAAAGTACAATTTTCTCAGTAAACAACAGGCAATAACAGCTACCCAATTCCCATAACAACATCTGCCTATAAAGATCATTTATTACCAATTCAATGCAGCTCACAAAGCCCTTGGGGATTTAATGGCCCTAATCAATAAATTTAACAAGACTTGAATTTCATTTCACGCTTGGGAAGGTTGTATACTTTACCAAGCATGGCCCGACTCTTTTCTCTCTCTCTAGCTGTGGTGGGATGAAATTTGCCATGCTTGGCACTACTTAAATTAGCCTCTCTTTTTTCTCTCTCTTTTGCTTGGTGAATAAACATACTCGACCTCGCTTGGAATGGCTGAACTAGATGATCCCTTTCTCTCTGTGCTGTATTATATACTCGACAAGCACGGTACGGTGGAAACTTTACTTTTCTCTCTATCTGAGGTATACCAAACACTTTGCCAAGCATGACACGTCTCAACTACGCTCTATTCACTCAGAGGTAGAATACACTTGGGCCATGCTCGATACAGCTTATTTGTTTAATCTTATATTATGCTAAGAAACGGACTCCCGAAGTATGTGAACCAAGATGGCGGACACCGGAGCGTAGTATGTGTACCAGGTTAGGGTTAGTCCATAAATTTCAGGTACAAATACCACGTGAGTCACTTGGCTAGTCCCCAAACTCGTAATAGAACTAAAATAAGGAAATTTGGAACCATAACCTGGTACACGTACTACATTCCGGTGTCTGCCATCTTGGTTTACATACTACGGAAGTGCTCATCAAAAGAATAGAGTCTGGAATATGTAACTCACAGTTGGGATTACGCGAAACTAGCATATCTTCTTTGATGCTTAATTACTGGTAGAATTGTATGGGTGTATTGCAAGGTTGTAGCAGGAACGGAAATGAGAGTCTTGCTGCACAATATCACTATTAAAATTCTCTCTACTAAAATTATATATTATTAAATTATTCAGACACCTCTTAATTAACTGGGTACTCCCGTAGTATGCGTACCAGGTTAGGGTTAGGCCATAATTTTATTCAAATTTTCCCTATTTTAGTTCTGTTATGAGTTCAGGGAATGTCAGTTTTATCCAAGTGAATATACCCCTATGTATATGTTTCAGTTCCTTTACACAACTTGATGTTAGTAGGCGAACAAAATTAGTCACCGCCATATTGGTGCACACTTCTCGAGTGCCATTAACTGAATCAAAATTTCACAGTAAAAATGACAAATTTCACTGGAGATAAAACTGTTATTTCAATCATCTAGAAACTCGCAAGCATCATTCGCATAGCAATAGTTTCGCTTCTATCTTGAACTATTTTCCGAACTATTTTCTGTGATAGCAATAAACCAATCAATCAATAATTGTCTGAGATTCAATTCTGACGAAAATTCATTTATTAATAAAGATTTATTACGCAGGAACCATTGTGATTGAAGATCGTAAAATATAATAAATTAAAAGGATTGAGGTTTATTGTTTGAAACAAGTTGGAGAAATTGATTTGAATGGTGCAGGCCTATTAAATAATTTCTCAACAATATACATGATAATAATTATATAAAACAATCATTTTTGTTAAAAACAAAACAAAGAGTATACTGAGGCGTCCCAGGAAAGGACAAAGCACCAAAATATGAACGAGAATATTGGTCAGAGACCGAAGCCTTTTCGATCGAAAGTTAGGGGATCCCCCAAAACAGAAACTGCGGTTACGATTCATCCGCTCTTACTCCACAGCGACACCTTGTGTCCTATCACTAATTAATTGATAACTCGCTAATTATACGACATAATTCATCCAAAATCAATAGTCTTCTTGTCCGAGATATGATGAATGCAAATTTGGAGCAGATTCAACCTCGCTTTCGTCAGATATCGTGAACATATGAAAGTGTCTAACAGACAAACACACACACAGACAAATACCTTAAGATCGATAAGTAATAAAATAATTGTGGCATACTTTTTGGAACAGAAAGTTTATAAATCCTTTATTCTACAAATTTTAATGCAAGCAAAACTACAACTTCTTCAACTGAATATCAATCAGGATTAGTAAAATATTATTAAAGGCAGAAAAACATAATATCTAAACTTTAAATATTTTTCATCGGTATATTTATACAGACTAAATAGAATTGCTTTTCTGGTAACTCAAAAAACTATTCTACATATAAGAAAATTTCTAGTTACTCTAGTTAGGAAACTGCCGTCTTAAATGATTGCGCTGACAATCTATAACACAATAGCAACTGGTTGTGAGTAATGAAGGACTAGAAACTACACGTAATATATCCCATTATGACTCAACAACAGTCTCGTGAAATTTGAAGTCTTATGACATTATGAGCACAATAATGTCACACAATAATGACAATTATGATAGCATAAAACGCTTAAATGAATTCAAAAATAGACATTTGACACAAATTCACACCAATTGCAAAATAGCTACCTTGCATACGCACTTGTTATCGATATTAATGATCATACAAAAAATTTCTATATTGACATGATGCAATTGAAATATATTTGATATTGATTGGCCATCATTTTTAAACTAAATTTGCCGGACCTCAGACTCCAACCTACATTCAGCAAAACATCTTGATAACGAAACTAGTTTCAGTGATTAGTTCAAGCATGCGATTCTGTCGATACACACGAGTGGTTAATTGACATTCAGCCAATATCAAAAATCATAAGCATGAAAGCTAAATTAGGTGGCTAACAATAGAAGGCAATGGACCATCTATGGCCAACAAGCGCTTTAGATTGCAATTATTTTATCTGCTTCATATTCACCCATATGATATCTGAACAAGGATCCTTTATTCCACTATTTATTGGAAAGACCAGAACCTATTCAATTCAGCATTGCTTACCTACTTTATTACAGAGTAGCTTAGACGGTGGGTAGAGGGGCATTTCGAATCGCGTTTGTTTTCGCGGCGACTATTTCAGAACGGCCCTTTTAAAAATGGTGGCTGCATCCCAGGTTGTAGGCCTATATAAATCTACAATACAATAGCATAGGATAGGCAGTCCCTGAGAATCTTAGCGATATATTCGTATGAGTGTACAGCAAAACTTGAATTACATACTATGGTTGTCCATAATTATATTTCACTCGATGTGAAAATACTGTTTATTTGCATACTATTGCTTTTTTCATCATAGTTGATAAATGCTTGTCTGCAGAAGTCTGACCATGGTT